ATTAGATTGATCAAAATCCATCTTTGGGCCGTGCTGCTGCAGGAAGGACACCGACCTCAACAACAGAGTGCTGGTGATGAAAGACTTCGCTTTTTGATTTCCAGATGCGAAACGTTCAATTAGATTGATCAAAATCCATCTTTGGGCCGTGCTGCTGCAGGAAGGACACCGACCTCAACAACAGAGTGCTGGTGATGAAAGACTTCGCTTTTTGATTTCCAGATGCGAAACGTTCAGAGGCAATGAGTCAGAAAGCAAACAGTGACATTTGGGATCAGTCCACTGCTGAGAGGGACGTCATTCCCCTTGCGGAAGCAGACTGTGCCATTATATGCAATAGCTAAAATACATATGGATAAATATATACAGTCGTGCCCCGCTTAACAATTCCCCCATATTATGACGAATCCGCTTTACGATAATCTTTTTGCGATCACAATTGGGATTGCAAAACTATGATCTAAATGGGGGGATTTCGCTTAGCGATGATCAGTTCCCTGCTTCGGGAACTGATTTTCGCTTTACGACGATCAAAAACAGCTGATCGTTGGGTTTTCAAAATGGCCGCCGGGTCCTTAAAATGGCTCCCCACTGTGTTTAGGGATGGATTCCTTGCTATACAGGCACCGAAAATGGCTGCTGTATAGAGGATTTTCGCTGGACGGTGAGTTTTTACCCCATTGGAATGCATTGAACAGTATTCAGTGCGTTTCACTGCGGTTTTTAATTTCGCTTTACGATGTTTTCACTTAACAGCGATTTTGTTGGAACAGATTATTGTCGTTAAGCGAGGCACTACTGTATCCAGTATATACGTAATGCTTACATACATCAGCATGGAATATGTACTGTATATACTGTACTGTATGTACCATGTACACATGTGTGCACATGTATATAAATTGTGCGAGTACATATGTAAAATGTAAATATATATAAATATATATGTATGTGGGCATAGTAATTTATATATATGTAAATGTATATATAAGTACAGTGGACCCTTTACTTAAGGAATTAATCCGTATTGGAATGGTGGCTGCAAGTCGAAAAGTCTGTAAGTCGAATCTCCATTGACCTACAATGCACTGAAAACCGATTAATCCCATAACCAGTGGTTTTTATTCTATTTTTATTCCATTTTGGTTTTTTTCTGGTCTGTAAGTCGATTCTCCGTCTGCAAGTCGAATCTAAATTTTGCAGCCAGAGAAGTCTGTAACTCGAAAAGTCTGTAAGTCGAGCCGTCTGTAAGTCAAGGGTCCACTGTATGTGAATATAAATACTTAGATTGATATGTAAAACACAATATGTGCATTTACTAAAATTTATTTATGCTTAAATAATATGCTGATAGTTTAAAACATTTTTAAAGGAAAACCTAGTGGAAAGCAAGCATCACAAGCTGGCAAGAAGCTTAAGAAGTGGCCCGTCTGATCATGACCTCAAGCCCAATGCAGCTACCCGAGATCAGCTTAATGTAAGTTACCTTTCTGTCTCTCTCTCTCTTTCCAAAATCACCTATGTGGCACCACTGGCTGGGGATTATGGGTACTATAATCCACATAGGATAATGTTTCCACTGCCAGAACAGTGGCTGTAACTGTGTTTTCTCTGTTCAGATAGCTCGGATCCTAGCCCATAAACATGGCAGACCATGGTGTGCAAATGTATCTCCGGTTAGGGTCTTCCCTTTTAAATCCCCGTTGGCTGGCAGCAGGTCGGACCCAAAGGCAGTTTTGTAGCAAACCTTGCTTTTAGGCTACCTGAAGAAGCAGGAACGTGTCCGAGCCAGAGTTAGAACTTGGGCGGGGCAGCTGGGGATTTCACCCACGATGCTGAAAGTTAGAGGACGAAGAAAATCAGCTGCTAGAAGGATGTAAACCTGAGCCTGGCATTCGCCGCTGGGACGATGCAAGCCGTGCTCGCCCAAGGCGTGTCTATTCCAGGAAGTCCTCCCACGACTGGAGGAAGTACGAAACAGGTGGGAGGAGGACTGTTATGTCTTGAGACCCAGCTGTTTTTCTTTTCACGTTGGTCCTTTTCCTGACTGTGGCAATCTCCTGTCGTCCAAGCTTAGGCAAAATCCCTAAGCACCAGCATGGATCATTACAGCTTCGGTTTGAGCGAAGGGAAAAAGCTTCGTCGCCCCCTCTACTCCTCTTTTCATGGAAGAGGGAGGACAAAAATACAGTGGCCTTTGGTTTGGTTTTGAAGGGTTGTGGCTTGGAGAGCATGAGCATGTTCCTGCTGAGTCCTGCAAATCCTTCTTTTGTTAACTTTTCCAGACCTTGGAGAGCCATACCCTCAAAACATGTACTGTTGTCTTTTTATACATATATGGCCATATTTTTCTAAAAACAGATGAAAAGCTTCTGGAGACTGAGATTGAACTCTAGCGTATGTTTGGGATTTTAGTGTGTGCTCTTCAGTCATATTGAAATGGATGCTGTAACTCAGTGGTCCCCAACTTTGGACCTCCAGATGTTCTTGGACTACAGCTCCCAGAAGCCTTCACCACTACCTCTGCTGGCCAGGATTTCTGGGAGTTGAAGTCCAAGAACATCCGGAGGCCCAAGGTTGGGGACCACTGCTGTAACTCACTGGTTCTTAACCTTTGTTACTCAGATGTTTTTGGACTGCAACTCCCAGAAGCCTTCACCATCAGCTCTGCTGGGTGAGGTTTCTGGGAGTTGCAGTTCAAAAACACCTGAGTAACAAAGGTTAAGAACCACTGCTGTAACTTACCCTCTTCACTGAAAAGATAAGGTTGAATTTCTCGAAGCCTGCAGGAATTCCCCTATCCAGAACTCTGGGGACTTCAATTCAAGAAATTAAATTCCTGGCAGGTGTTTTTCAGTTCTTAGATTATTTGATTTCCGACTCTGGCTGTCACTTTGGTCCTGTGGAGAGGACTGGGGAAATGAGTGAGCAGGACTGAGTCCTATGGGAGCTACAGGGGATTATGGGTCTGGGAACTTCTGCCCATTAGACTCTGCACACAACAACTCTCAGGAAAACGACCAAAGTTTAGACGCGGTCACAAAACAATCTGTGAATATCTCTTGTGTAGATCATAGTGAGCTATCCCCCAACCAAGCAGTTGACCTACGAAGAACAGGATCTTGTCTGGAAATTCCGCTATTACCTAACTCATCAGGAAAAGGTATGTAATTAAATTAAATTTCCATTTTCATCATGCTCTAGTTTTTAAATTCTTGGGAATTAAAGCAACAACAATCCAAATCCACACTATAATACAAATTAATTGGGAGGGGAAAAATCTTATACTGTATGTGCAAGTTTAAAAACAGAGGTGTTTAAATGCTTTTCTCCCATTGTAGCTCTGGTCTGAATCAGTACCCTCTGCCCAAGGATACAGTTGACTTTGTTTGCTTTTAAGTATATGCTACTTGAATGAATCTGCCCAAGGATACAGTTGACTTTGTTTGTTTGCTTTTAAGTATATGTTACTTGAATGAATTCAAGGGACGTGGTGGCGCTGCAGGTTAAACCACAGAAGCCTCCGTGCTGCAAGGTCAGAAGGCCAGCCATCGTAAGATCGAATCCACATGACGGAGGGAGCTCCCGTCGCTTGTCCCAGCTCCTGCTAACCTAGCCATTCGAAAGCATGTAAAAATGCGAGTAGATAAATAGGTACCACCTCGGTGGGAAGGTCACAGTGTTCCGTATCTAGTCGCACTGGCCACGTGACCATGGATACTGTCTTCAGACAAACACTGGTTCTATGGCTTGGAGACGGGGATGAGCACCACGCCCTAGAGTCGGACACGAGTGGACTAAACGTCAAGGTGAAACTTTACCTTACTTGAATGAATACTGCTGGATAGCTAAGTCATTTAAGTCTCTGGCTGCAGAGCCAAAGGTTGGCAGTTCGATTCCCTACTGTGCCTCCTTGAGAGGGGGCTGGACTCGACGATCCATAGAGTCCCTTCCAACGCTATGGTTCTAAGATAGTTGCTGTTGTTATTGACATGTCATGCCTTGGGAAACAAGGAAGATCTGCCGTGTAGCTAATTGTATGTTTCCTTTCTTCCAGGCATTGACAAAGTTCTTGAAGTGCGTCAACTGGCATCTCCCACAAGAGGCCAAGCAAGCCTTGGAGCTTTTAGGGAAATGGAAGCCAATGGATGTGGAAGATTCCCTGGAACTTCTGTCCTCCCATTTCACCAACCCAACGGTGCGGCGCTATGCGGTCGCCAGGTTGCAGCAGGCAGACGATGAGGTCTGGTTACGTCTCGGTTCTCCTTTGTGTGTGTGTGTGTGTTTGAGGAGTGGGAGTGACTTCAGTCCACCATAATTTAAGTTGTCATATCCACATGCGTTTCTGAGGGCAGCCAAGGGATTTTCAGCCCTTATTCTTCTGGTGTTTCACAACATGCTTTTATTCCCCCCTCCCCCCAATAATTCCTGTTTCTCACATGCTGCAGGTTCTATGCACTTGAGACAGAGGAATTAAGTCTGTACCTAAGGAATATTTTAAAAACGAGGCACAGTCTATGAACGGCTGGACCCTACTTACAAAAATTGAGGAAAAAAACCATGTATGATTATAATATTTAATTAGAATTTATCGTCCTTTGCTCATAATATATCCCAGTGATAATACAGTATGTTGACATTATAACTGTAATCACATTTTTTTTAAAAAAAAAGAATTTAAGAATAAAATTTAAATCCAGGTCAAATTTAAAAAGATCCAGAATTTCTGGACTGCAGTCCCCCAGAAGCTTGAAGGAATTCCCCTAGCTAAGAATTCAAGGGGCTTTAATTCCAAAAATTAAATTCCTGACAAGTGTTTTTAAATTCTTAGAGGTGGTGATTTCAGACGCCTGCAGCCTTTTTGTCCTGTGGAGATGACTGGGAAATAGGTGGCAGGACTAAATTTCATGGGAGCTGCAAGGGGTTATGGGTCTGGTAGCCTCTGCCCATTAAGCTCTGCACAGAGTGACTTTGAGAGAAAAAAACTACCCGAGATTAGATGTTGTGATGTTTATATTTTTGTCTTTGTTTTTTAAAAATCACTGATTTTTAATGTTCAGTCTTTTTAAATGAGGGGCACAGGGGCATACCTTCTGTGGCCTGAAGGCTTCTGAGTGTTGTGCTCCCTGCTTTGCTTACCGGCATGGGGCCGCTCTAAGATATTTTGCTGCCAGAGGCGAAGCAGTAAATGATGTCTACCATCCCTAGCTCTGCCTTTCTGAGACGATGATCATCATCATCATCATTGTCATCCTACCATTGAGACACACAACAAGTGCCTTATCATTTGAGGCAGGCCATCCCACAAAACCTCCACCATCCCCATTTCCTGGAATTAAATTGCAGTAATAACAATTTTTTTTAAAAAAACAGCCAGTTTGCTGCCCTTTAATGTTAGACACTGAGAACAAATGGTCTGATTTGCAGACGAGTAGATCCTGCAGTGAAACCCGTGTATGTTCTTCATGACCACCCTCACTACCTGAGGTTCCTCCCTTTAACATAGACCCATGGGCACTACTCACCTTTTAATTTGCTCCCATTTCCGTCCACTATCACCTGTTTCCCGTTTCTGTCTCTTGTCTGGCTTTTGACATAGGTGGGCTTGTACCAAAGCTGAGATCCTGGGAGATGATCTGACTGTGGACTCTCCTTTTCACCCCTTCCTATTTTTTTGCCTTTCAGGATCTACTAATGTACCTGCTGCAGCTAGTTCAAGCGCTGAAGTACGAGAACTTTGATGACATCAAGAATGGCTTGGAGCCCACCAAGAAGGACAGTCAGGGCGCCATGTCGGAGAGCATGGCCGCCTCTGGCATGAATGTGGCAGAAATAGACAGGTAGAGGAGAGGGGGTGGCTAAACGGGATGCAGCAAAAACTCCTGTAGTTTTGCAGGTAGAGTTCAGGGGGTCTAGCCCTTGTGTTTTGGGGAGTTTGGAAACCTTCCGCCCTCCTTAAGGGGGGCCCTCTGGGGTTTCCAGAAAACTTCCCCACCTGTTCTCCATGGCACCAATCTTTAGTGGCTTTCCCAGATGTTGTAAAGATTCCCAGGTTCTAAACGGTTTTAAAAAATATGCCTCTTACCAGCAGTAAGAGCTTAAAAGGGAAATATGTTGGAATTCTTGGCCTGTTTACTCGTGGAAGGCAGTGCTCAGAAGCATCTGTGAAACTGAAGGGATTTCCTCTTTGTGGTGTACAAGGTGGTGTGAACTGTGCCAGGTCAAGAAAGATGGAGAAGGAAAAAAAATCTGGCATTGATGCGAGTGAGCAGGAAAACCCGAGGGTCCCTGGATTTTTGACAGAACGCAAGAAGGGTGTGATTTTTGACAGAACATAAGATCAGGCAAAAGTCTGAACAATTCGACACTCATTTATCCACTAGCGTCACCCAAGTCAAGGCAGCTTTGTAGGTGAGAGCCGTGAATGAATGAATCGTCTAAAACTCTTCCTCTCTGCCCCGTTGCTTCCCCAGCTCCCAGATCATCACGAGCCCATTGCCCCTTATATCCTCCCCACCGTCTGCAGTGAAGGCCAAAGGAGAGTCTGCCGACAGTGAAAATCTCGAGGTGAGGAACCCTTTGGAAGTCAGTGCTGAGATGAAGAGGAGGGAGGTTTGGGGCCAGACCAGTTCTCAGTTGAGTTCTGACCTCAAGGTACTCAAGGGGGGAGCTGCTGGCAACTCTCGCCAACCCTCAGCCGGCCATCAGTGTCATGGGTCAGGCAGTCATTGAGGGAAATCCTTCCTGAAGAGAAGAGTTTGTTTGTGGAAGGACAGCTAAGATGGGGCCAACCTGGCCTCCAGTGGGAGGGAGTTCCAAAGTCTGGGAGCAGCTACAGAGAAGGCCCTCTCCTGTGTCCCCCACCAAGCATGGCTGTGAAAGTGGTGGGACGGAGAGAAGGGCCTCTCCTGATGGTCTTAACACTCCACCTCGTGATCCTTGAGAGAGCTTGGATCCAAGCCATTTAGGACTTTAGAGCCAGGCTCTACCATGTTTCTTTCTCATCAGAAATGCTTGTGGTCATGCTCTCGGTATCTTATCCTTAAGAAACTCTCATTGATCGTGGACTCCCTTCTCTTTGAGTGTTTCTGACCCAGTACGTCCTTGAGAGTCCGTGTGATTTAGTGGATCGAGTGAAAGACTAAGGACTCGAGAGAGAACCTCGGTTTGAATTCCCACACTGCCATGGAAAACCATCTGAGGGTGCCCCTTAAATATCTCTCAGATCTTGAAAACTCCTATTAGGGTCTGTGTAAGTCAGATGCAGTTTAACGACACATGACGAACAAATTTCTTTAGGGCTCTTGGAATTCCTTTTCTTGAAGTCCAGAACGCATGTGATATTACTCCAAGCTGTTCCTTTCTCCAGTGTAACAAACCCTAAGAATGGCATGGCCACGAAATATTTATACCGTGATTGTTGTGACCCGGACAGGAAAATGACCCTGAACAAATTAAAAGGCCAGATGGGCACGAACCGCCAGCTTGACGGTTCGTGCGAGTTCATTTAGCCGCTGAACAAGTTCGGAAGTGCCAAACACTTATTCAGCCACTAAACAAATGGAACCAAACTGTCCAATTGACATTTCATGCTGCTCTCTACAGTGTAAAAATGGCCTGAACCATTTAGATCCATTTATGACAGCACACGGTGGCCGAGACCCTGTTGGATGGCTCTTTGTGTGTCATGTGAAGCTGTGGAAGCAGTAGGAAAAAAATACATCAGGGCGGAAGTCATAGATATGGAACCCTTCCACGCACATGGTTCGCAACTGTCGTGACATGAACTGTGCTACGGATGACACGGCCACGTTGCGAGCCATGCAGTGGGGCACGATCCGTTCCGCAGCTGTGACACTAAACACACAACTGGGACGTGAAGTACGATGGATTGGGAACACTGGTGCCGTGGTTGTAAGGGTTGCAAGAATTGCTTTATATTAGTTAGGCCAACTTGAACAGGATTGCAGCCAATGTGTTTACTTAAAAAAAAGAAATGCACACCCCAATCCAAGTAGGATCACTGGGACCCCAAAAGGCTTGTTGAAGAGCTGTGTTCTATCTCAGCACCAAAGCAAAACCAACAATGGATCCAGATGGATCCCCGCAAAGGGAGGGCATTCGATGGCCAAGGTGCCACAGCAGAGAAGGGGGGGAGGAGTACATTATCCCACTTGACATCAGAATATTTTGTTGTTGCTGTTGTTCTGGAGACAAATAGAGCTATTTTGCCGGAGTTCCTAACATTTGCTTCCCCATTTAATTTCAGCAAGACCTTTGTACCTTCTTGATCTCTCGGGCCTGCAAGAATTCCACACTGGCAAACTATTTATATTGGTACGTACGGAGATGACGTTGTTACCCCCTTGCCTGAATAATGGCTCCTCCATCCTCTTTCCCCTTGTCGGCACCTTTCCGGCTGAGCCACACAACGGAGAATGGGGGCCAGCTTTGACGTTCGCCATCTGAGTCTGTCGTTGCTGCAATTTAGAAGCAGCAAACGCTAAGAAGAAATATCATACAACTCACAGGTTGAGAAATGGAGGGAGAGACCACAGTACTGCTGGAGGGGGCACAGGGTCTGTTGTTGTGGCTAGTCATTCAAATCCAGTCTTGCCATTGTGTAACAAACTCCAAATTTGTTCACCTACGGAAATAATACAGTTCAGAACCAGTTGCTGTCCAATTGTTCATTTGTAAAACATCCATGCAACCTCTTCATTATGAAGCTTCTCTGTCGGAGCCGGTTTCTTTCTTTCTCTTTTGTTCTTCCTTGAAGAAGTGAATTAGAGATGGACATTTCAGGTCAGACCTAACCCATTATTCTACCATGAAAAATGTCCACAAACAGTCCCTTTCCATGGCTTCCTAATCTCCTTGGAACTTCTTTTCTTTTGCCCTTGGCAAAAATGGCCAATTTATCGCTAGCCCCTTCTCACCTCCTTCTTCCAGACATCTTTTTTCCCCCATTTCCCAGTGCCAAAATCTAGATGCCAAAGCTAGAGTGCCAGCAAATGTAGCTGTAAATCTTCAGGTTTGTTGACCTGCTTCAGTAGGAGTTAGAAATTGTAAAAAAATTGAGAGAGGGGAAGGAATAGAGTAATCCTTCATAGGTACTTGTGACACGATCGCTGAGACAGAGCCGTTCCGCCCCCTATACAGAGAGGAGAAGAATGTTGACGGGTTCCTAAAAGGCAGGAGTGCTTGGCCTCTCCACCCCCACCAAGACATGGGGTAGACAGAAACAGGGTCCTTATGTATTAAGATTAGAGGTGGGGGACGAATCGCCATTTTGGCGAGTCATCCTTCGTGATTCGTCAAAGTTGACGAAGCACGAATCTCCTCCCCATGAACTGATGAAACATGAATTTATTTGTCAGTTTGTGGAGGGGGGGGTAAAAAACCTGACCCCTCCCACCCTCACAGCCTGCCCCCCTGCCCCTTTCCCACTGCCCCTTCCCGCCTCCCTACCTTGGCTGCCACAGTCTGCGCCACCACCACCACCATCCACAGAGGCCTGTGCCACACAGTCACCATCCAACACTGCTTTCTGTGATGGCCTCCACCGCTATGACCTGCCTTAAGGGAATCCAGGCTGCATTTTGCAAAGATGGCGGCTGCAGTTTCCCTGCCTTAGAGAAGCAGCACCCACCATCTTTGCAAAGGGCAGCCTGGATTCCCTTAAGGTGGGGGAAATGAATCTGAGCTGCCCTTTGCAAAGATGGTGGCTGCAACTTCCCTGCCTTAAAAGAACCTGCAGTTGCCATCTTTGCAAAGGGTGGCCAGTATCCTTTATGGCAGGCCGTGGCTGCTGAGGCCATCACAGCAGGTGGCAATGGTCAGTGGCCACAGCAGGTGGCAGTAGATGATGGCGGCACCAGGCAATGGTGGATGGCAGCAGCGGATAAGGTAGGAAGAGGAAGGAAGCAGGGGATAGGCTATGGGGCTGGCTGGCTGCCTATCATCCTGCCGATCAGCTGATCGATGAGCCCATAGGCAGAATGTGAAGGCCATAGGAAGAGAGGGAAGGCTAGCCTTCCCTCTCTTCCTATGGGGGATGAATAAAAATGGGGCAATATTCATCCCTTCATATTTGTCTGGATCTCTGGCACTGACAAATAGGAAGGGATGAATATTTAACAAATCAGCAATTTGTTAACTAATATCACAATCCTTTTTTTATTCGTCCCCATGTCTAATTAGGATTTTGTGTCTTGTCATATATGCCGCTGATCCAGATCATAGCTATGTATAAGCATGAATAACGGGTGAAAATATTTTCCCTAAATTGTCAAGCATGCTTCTTACTTCTTGCACATGCCGTGTGTCTCACAGTGGGGTCATAGATCCAGGGCAGTGTACCCTAGAAAGAGTTGCCGAACACTGTAATCAGCTTGACAACACATCCTCATTCTATCAATCAGTTACTCCCATTGTAGCACAACATCTTGGATGGGTTGGTCTTGAAGGAGCCATTAAGAGCCAGGGGCTTTACAAGAGACCTGCCTGTCATTTAGTGATATGTAGCAATCCAGCTGGAGTATTCTTTATTTTTAAATTCATCTTGATAGGGGATGGTTCTGGACCTATTGTCATGAGCATCATGAAATTTAACACAATGCTTCTGATATCTCAGTCCTGGTTTGTTGCAGAACTATCTATACCAGGAAGCGAGAGCTAGGCATACGCTCGTGTTGAATGTATTCTCATCGGCTTACGGTGCTTTCCTGCTGCATTGTGAGCAATCTGTTTATCGATTGGGTTCCTCTTCTGCCTTTCTCTCTGTGTGCCAGTAGAAGAATGGCAAAGGGTGTGTCCCTGAGGAGGGTGTTTCGTAGTCCAGGAGTGGCCCCTGAGGAGGCCCTCCCTTGGGTCCTCACCGAACATTCTTCTGAATGTGCCAGGATCTAGAGAAAGGCCTCTCCCTCAGGGCAGGTTGGTTTGTGTCGAAAAGTATGCAGTGTTGGCATAAGATATGTGGAACTTGTGATCAATGAATTGGCTGGGGACCACCAGATCCTCCTAGGCCGTGCTCCTCTGGGTTGCCACTCTGAAGGAGGCCACAAAGATCATCCATGAGATGATTTCATGGCCGCCTTTGCTGGGGCACCAAGACTTTGGAATCAGCTCCTGCACCTGGTTCCTCCCTTCCTAATGTTTAGAAGGCTACTGAAAATGTTGCTTTTGCAAGAGATCTTTCCATGCAGCTCTGGTTGATTTTTTAGCCTCTTCCTCTGCCTTTTATTTGGAAATTACGCCTCTTGGGAGTGATGCTGTGTCTCATTGGTTGACTGTTTTATTGATTCCTATAATGTTGACATTGCTTGACATTGTAAACCGTGCAGGATAGTGCATTGCAATAATGGGACAGTATATAAAGTCAACAAGCCCACCAACACACACACACACACACACACTTGGGTGTGTCTTAGTTGTGTGGCCAGTCACATATCTGTTGTGCAACTGAAATGCACTCTGGCATCTTTATCAGTTACCGTGGCAAATTACACAAACTGTACATGGACACCAATAGGATGCCGGCCAGCATCCAAAGAGGTCCCACATACCATATTATTTTAGGATCTGCTCTGTTTTATTCCATTGTTGCAAACGTTGAAAGGGATTATTCGCAGATTTGTTTTCTTTTTTTAATCTTTGTATTATTTTTTTAATGAGTTTTAAGTTCTGTGCATTGTTTTATCCGCTAGCCGTCTCAAGCTTTGGTTTCTTCTTCTGCTTTGTGGAAAGGTACGTGATTGTGGAATGTGAAGACCAAGACACGCAGCAGAGAGACCCAAGGACTCACGAGATGTACCTGAACGTCATGCGGAGATTTAGTCAAGCTCTGTTGAAGGTGGAGATTTTTGTTTTGTCGAAGGCTTAAATTTGGCTAAGGACCACCTACTTGGGTTCTTGACATAAAAACCCATAAGAAAAATGATAGAAAAATGTCTTCTTCTTGGTGACATTTTGCTGACTCTTCCTTCTACACCGACAAGATTTTTGAGTTTCTTGAGAAAATGATATCCCAGCCTCATTTTCCTCATTTGTTCATGCCGTTATTTTCCCTCCTCAATTTTGCACTGCTCCGTCCCCTTTCCATAGAATCCTGGACGTGACTGATGCCATTTTGTCTAGGAATCATAATCTTTGTCATACTGTTCTAACCGTTAAGAAGGGTAGCAACAAACTGGAGCGCCTTCAGAGGCAACAAGGATGATCCTGGGACTGGAACCCAAGCCCTGTGGGGGAAATAACTGGGCAGGTTTAGCCTTGAGAAAAGAAGACTGAGGGGAGATAATAGGAGAGGACTTTTCAAAGTCTTGAAAAGTAAAGATTTGGGGCAGGAGCTGTTTCGGAACGCCCCAGATTGCAGGACATGTAATCATGGGCTCAAGTTACAAGAAGCCTAATTTCGGCTGGATATCAGGGAAAACTTCTTAACTGTTAGAGCAGTATGACAACGGAACCATTTACCTCAGTGGGGAGGTGTTAAGCACTCCAATGCTGGAGGCCTTCAAGAGAAAACTGGCAACCGTCTGTCAGATCTGCTTTGATTTGGACTCGATGGCCTTATAGGCCCTTTCCAACTTCATTATTCTAATATGGTATATGATATGATTCGATTCAATTCGGTTCTGTGTAGACTGATTCAATGCCCCTCACATCCCAGAAAAGTGTGCTGGTGAAACAGCCAAGCACTCTTGTGAGGTTTCTTGGTGTGTGTGTGTGTGTGTGGAATCGTAAGAAGAGAAATCTGGTTTCAAGGAGAAATGGGGGATGGGATTTTATTTTTTGCCAAGACCAAGGCACCAATGAATGAATGAATGAATGAATGATTAAAAAAGACCATGGAAGTCACATCCGTAGTCCAAGATGCAGAATGTCTACGGGGCGGAGGGCGGATTGCTTCTGGGTTCATTGCTCCTTTGTGAGGGAGAGGCATTCAAGAGAAAATTGGACCACCATCTGTCAGAGACCAGATTCCTAAACTTTCCAAAACTGTTTTGAGTCTGGCTCTAATTTTTTTTTCATATAAACGTGGCTTTATGAGGCTAGAATTCTAGGCTGCTTTCATTTTGGCTGGATCCAGAAGTTCTTCTTTCACAAAATTTGTTTTGCCGCCCCAGAGAAAGCCAAGGATCCCTACAGAGCACAAAAATATGAACTCAAGTAATAGGAAATCATAATTCAGTGTCTCCTGATAAGACCGAAACCATTTAACCCTCCCAGCTGACTGACTATCCAGAAAGCCATGAGGGTTAGTGCCTTAATTTGATGCCTTTGTTTTATAAAATGGGGAATCATTTGCGTCTGCATTAGGCTGCAAAATTATTTGGAGGTTCTTGTTTAACAAACCCTCAAGCCAATTGCAAACATCACCAGAGACAAACAGAAAAACCCACTAAAAACTCTGCAATTGTTATGAAAGATGTCCGGTCCGAAAGACAAGCCAAGGAATTCAAGTACCACAGACTTGGAAGTTCACTGGTTGGATTTCCACAGAAATATCACATCAAGGCATTTACATGATTTTTAAAGGCTCAATTTAGGCTTCTCCCACATGTGAATGATGCCCCCCCCTGTGCTTTTGCATACCGTAATTCTGAGGAAGGGTGATGGCTCCCACACTCCAAGGTGCTGGGCTTCCCCCTCATCCTTCTGTTTTTAATAACTTTTCCGACGAGTTTCAACACTCCAGGATGATTATTGTTTGCATGGCTGTAAAAATGCTGAAAGTGGGTAACTAAATACCTGCTGGTAGGAACTTTGGTTCCATTTTTCTGGAGGCCGTCACAGAACGCGGGGGCCAAGACAAGAAGCATTTCTTTTGAGTGAGTTGCCAGTGTTCATTGCCCTTTGAGAAGGATTACTGCCCATCTCCTGGAGGCAGAATAATTAAAGCAGCAAGAAGTAATTTTGCTTTTTTCCTTCCAATTTACACAGGGCGATAAGTCTGTCAGAGTGATGCGCTCTTTGCTGGCTGCCCAACAGACGTTCGTGGATCGGCTGGTCCATCTCATGAAAGCGGTGCAGCGTGAAAGTGGCAATCGGAAGAAAAAAGTAAGATGCAGAGTCAGACGCACGCGTCGCTCTCTGTCCCTTCTCCTTTCGTAGTTACCTTCGTAGGTACAAGAGTATTCTTGGTTTGCTGAGCGTGCTCTGTGATGATCGGCTGTGGAGTTGGCAGATGGAGGACACAGTGCTCAATCCATCTGTTCCGATCCAGTTCTCAGAGTCTGGAGATACAAGGGAGGCCTGATGGAGATGTTTTTCCCCTTCCAGGTTCATTGAACAGCTCAGTGAGTTAAGTTAGCTGGCTGCAGAGCGGTGAGGAGTCAGATTCCCGTTGTGTCTTCTTGGGGGAAGAGCCAGCCTGTGGGGGCCTTGGAACAAGCTGCACCCAGAAAAACGAAATGCTTGTTTGTTCGTTTGTTTTAAGCTGGCCTTTGTCCCAGGGCAGCTGACATTGTTAAAAGATAATATTGAAAGGTAAAACCATAAGAACACAGATACTAAGAAGGATCGAACCAGTGCCGCTCTGAGAACTGGTACACGTGAGCGATACTAAAAAAAAACCCACACATTCAAAGCAGACCGCCTCAGAATTGAATTGAAGGTACATGATGAAGAGAATTCGGTTCAATGACATCCGTTTGGCCTGATCAGGAAGGGAGTTTAGAAGGTAGGCTCACTTCCGCAGCGGTGTGGTTGGCACAGAACAGAGCCGGCGGAGGCATCCGTGCTCACCGGAAGGATGCTGGGCTGGTGTTATAATTAGAGACAAGGACAACTCACCATTTGGGCGAGTCCTCCTGCTTCGTGAGTCATCAAAAGTTGACGAAGTGGCCCCCATGAAGCGACGAATAATGAAGTTATTTGTCGATGTGTGGGAGGGTTATTTAAAAAAACACCTGCTGTCAATGCCCCGCTACTGTGCCATCACTGCCCCCCTCCACTCCACCCTCCCCGCCGACACCCTCTTCCTATTAAAAAACCCCCAAAACACACAACCATTCTTCCTACTGGCCGCCGATCAGCTGATTGGCACCCTAAAGTCAGCCAGCCACCTGCCTACCCCCACCCTCTTTCTCTCCCTTCCTTAGTCTCCCCCACGCTCACCGACACCCCCTTACCTTAATCACTGCTGCCGAGGTCTCCATCTGGCCTCTCAGCCACGGCATGTAAAAAGGCAGACCGGCTGCCCTTTGCAAAGATGGCAGCCGCGGCTTCGTTTAGGGTAGGGAAGCTGCAGCCGCCATCTTTGCAAAGAGCAGCCTGGATAGGCAGGGTTTTTTTTTCTTTAATATGAAGGAAAAATAAAAAAGGGTAAATATTTCTCCCTTCGTATTCGTGAGGTGTCTCTGGAACCCACAAATATGAACGGGGCAAATATTTAACAAATCAGCTATTTTCACAGAAAAAAATGATCCTTATTAATATTCCTCCCCATCGCTAGTTATACTCTCCCCCCCATGTCAAGAAGACAACTGGAACAGACACAGCTTCTGTATACAGTGAGAATGAGACCATGTGTTCCTCCAAACCAGTTTTATGGGTCCTTCCTCCCCCCCCCTCCGGAAAATTCAAAAATCATGGAGTGCCCATCCTGGTAGCTTCTGGGAATGGCAGTTCTACTCTAGAGCAAGGCAAAGAGTCTTCCTTTCATACCAGTGGTTGGGTAGTGTCTTCTGGCTATCCCTCAGACCAGCAGGGAGCTCCCATTCATTTATAGCTTTGATGCAAAAATACAGGGGGAAGGGAAACACTTTTTATTTTTATTTTTTTGAGGTGGTATCACTCACGGAGTGTCCGTGGAGCGTCCGTGGAACACACACGACTCCCCCCTACACAGCCTTTTTATTTTTATTTTTTTGAGGTGGTATCCCTCACGGAGTGTCCGTGGAGCGTCCGTGGAACACACACGACTCCCCTCTGCCCTACACAGCTGTGGCTGCTGGGACATCAAAAACTTTTTAAAAAAGATGTTTCACTAAGAATGAGATCCTGTACATGTTGGCTCGCATGGAACCCCCATGCATTCAGCGGTCCTTCTTTCCAGGACTTCTAGCGTGACTTCCTTGTGTATGATTGGCACCTAAATGTCTTATAACTCCCCAAAACGGCCTGTGGCTTCCCTCTGTTCTTCTGCCTTCCCCTCTGTAGCTTATGACCAGCTGCTTTGCTAGAGAGAGAAGATGGCAGAAAGATCCCGGCCATATCATTTCATATACAGTATTATGTGAACGGCAGCTGGTTACATCACTCTTCTCTTAAAACTAGCGTGCCCACTGTTTCCGTTTCTTGAGAGATCTGATCTGGTCATAGCGACACCTGCCCTAGTTACTTCCCGCCTGGATTACTGTAATGCACTCTATGTTGGGGCTGCCAATGGAAAGTGTCAGGAAACTTGCAAAATGCAGCAGGAAACTTGCAAAATGCAGCAACTGGATGGCTGACTGGGGCTGCTTACAGGGATCGCATAAACCCCTCTGTTACAGCTGCCGATCTGTTTCCGGACACAATTCAAAGTGGTTGCTTTGACCTATAAAGCCCTCAATGGCTTGTGCTAGTTTTAACCTATAAAGCTCTAAACAACTTGGGTCCAAGCTATTCAAAAGACCACATTCCCTCTTATGAGCCTTCTTGGGCATTAAGATCATCAGGAGAGGCCTTCCTCTTCAGCTCCACCACCCGCACAAGTGTGTTTGGTTGGGGATATGGGAAAGGGCCTTTTCTGTGGGTGCTCTCTAGACTCTGGAACTCCCTCCCACTGGAGGCCAGCCTGGTCTCATCTTTACTCTCCTTCCGCAAACAGGTGAAGACCTTTCTCTTCCGGGAGGCTTTTCTTAAGTGACTGACTGTCTAGGTGATAATAAATGGGCTGTTTTATATTTTGTTACTTATAAATCTGTTTTTAGTTATGCTTTTACCTAACATTTTTAATACAACATTATTAATTCTTATTTCATATTTGAATAATTTACTATGTTTAGTTTTTAATACGATGTTTTTAACGAGGCAATCCCTCTTGGGTCCTTGTTTTGGGAGAAAGAGAGAGTAAAATATTTTTTTTGATTAATTAAAAATAAATTGTTTTTTTCCCTGATATAAAAACGACACTCGTTTCCCTAACCAACCAAAGACAAGGTTTTCTCTGTCAAGTGACTCCTTCTCCTCTTTGGTTTCCCTCTTTTTCCTGCTGCCTTTCGCTTTCATGTTGATCCTTTTCTTTGTGTGTGTATGTATTTGTGCCCTTATTTTTAGTGTGATTTTGTGAATCGTTTTGGATTTCTTCACTGGGAAAAAGACAGGCTACAAATGCAATGAAGAAATAAGTAAATAAGTGATTTGCACCTCGTGGATGATGCTTTCTTCTCTCTGCTCCGCTTCTAGAATGAAAGGCTTCAAGCTCTCCTGGCAGACAACGAGAAGATGAACTTATCTGAGATTGAACCCATCCCTCTGCCTTTGGAACCTCAGGTGAAAATCCGAGGAATAATCCCTGAGAAAGCAACACTATTCAAGGTAAGATGTCAGAATTAAAGGGGAGGAAGAAGGGGAATGAAAAACCTGGAAGGAGCGAGAAAACCCAATGGCAACACATTGGAGTGCCTTAAGATCCATTAGGCTTGTCTCAGAGCAAGCTTCCATGAATCAAAACCCACTTCCATGTGGTTGAAGTGTCAACTTTAGCTGTTGCTCACCGTTTTACAGTGGTGCCTTGCTTGACGATGTTAATTCGTTCCAGCAAAATCGCTGTAGAGCAAAAACATTGTCAAACGAAATTAAAAAAAACCATTGAAATGCATTGAAAACCGTTCAATGCGTTCCAGTGGGCTGAATACCTGCTCGTCCAGCGAAGATCCTCCATGCGGTGGACATTTTCAGGGCCTGTAAAGTGAGGAATCCATCCTAGAAAACAGCGGGGGGCCTTTTTCTTCAGCCAGCAGCCATTTTGAAACCCGACGATCAGCTGTTTGCTGATCGTCGTAAAGTGAAAATTGGTTCCCGAAGCAAGGAACCAATCATCGTTAAACAAAAAACCTATTTAAAGCATTGTTTTGCAATCGCAAAAGCGATTGCAAAAAACTAATAGTACAGCGATTTCCTCGTTAAGCGAGGCAATAGTTAAGCAAGGCACCACTGTATTTCAAATCATCACACATGGGTGTGAAAGCTGGATAGTAAAGAAAACTGACTGGAAAAAGGTTTCATTTGAAATGTGGTGCTGGAGGAGAGCTTTGCGGATAACCTGGACTATCAGAAAGGCGAACAAGTGGGTCCTAGAGCAACTCAAGCCTGAACTATCTTTGGAGTAAAAAAATGTTGACGCTGAGGCTATCCTACTTTGAGCGCATCATGAGAAGGCAGGATTCTCTGGAAAAGACAATAATGCTAGGAAAAGTCGAAGGCAGCAGAAAAAGGAGGAGGACCAAATGTGAGATGGACTGATTCCCTAAAGGAAACCCTAGAGTTGAGTTTGCAAGAGCTGAGCAGGGCTGTCAAGAACAGGATCTTTTGGAGTTTGCTGGTTCATGGGGTTGCCATAAGTCGAGGGCGACCACAACAACATGCGTGGGAAAGCTAGCCTATGAAATCAGGCCAAACATCTTGAGATAGGGCTTGCCGGTAGCTGTCTGAAGCACTTGTATTGAGGTGGGTAACCTCCAGGTGTTTTGGATGTCAAGTCCCAGAAGGGCCGGGGCTAGGAGGGTCAGTGGGTAGGGCCTGTGGAAGTGGGAGACCTTCCTGACTTACACAAGACCTAGGCTTGCATCCCATATTGCTTTTCGTAAGGATAAGCCCAATCTTGATTAGAATGACAAGCAGCAAAAAAGTATAAACATATATAGAGAAAGGGAGAGAGAGTCTCACCTGATTTGTCCGGGGAACAGTCCGTGGAAATGTGGAGGCATTTTGCAATGAAGATGGGGTGAATAATCTTATGCCATCAGGTTGATTCCAACTTAGGGTGACCCTTTCCAGGGTTCTGTAGGTAGAGAACACACAGAAGTGCTTTACCTTTCCTCTCTTCTGGGGGCGCCCTGGGACGGTGTGCAGCTGGCCCAAGGCCACCCAGGCTGGCTGTTCTCCAAGGAGTCAGAGTGGGGAATCTAAGTCCCAACCTCTGGCTCCGCAGCCAGATAGCAAACCACTGAGCTTAGGTCTGGAATGATGTTTTCATTGTGTTGTTGTTACTGTGTGCTGTCACGTTGCTTCTGTGTCATGGTGACTTTATGAATGAGTCACCTCCAAGGAGCTCTGAGCTGGTCTTACAAACACAGGGCTGTGGTTTCTTCCGTTAATGAGTCAACCCCTCTTGTATACATGTTTTTTCTTGCTGCCTTCAACTTTCCCAGCATTATGGTCTTTCCACTCCAATTACAATAACCTCAGTTGAGTCCTTTTTGCCTCTGAAGAATGTTCAGGGTTGCTTTGATCTTGCATGGCTGGGTTTATCGTTCTGGTGTCCCAGGGCATTTGTAAATTGTGTTGTCTGTTGCAGTGAATAACCTGAAATGCTGTACCTTAATCGTATGGAAATCACCTGAAACTTTCCTCCAGTGATGGGTTTATGGGACGAAGCCTGTTTTCCCCCTTGTAATCTCTTTGTCTAAAAATGTGGGTGGGGAAGAAAGTGCTTCACAACTGGGGTGTACACCCGTGATGGCATGCATGGTGCGGGTGAAAGGCATACACCCGTGATGGCATGCATGGTGCGGGTGAAAGGCATTGCAACCAGAAACGGCCAAGCCAGACACACACAGTGTGTGTGTGCACGCACACAGACACACACAGAGAGAGAGAGAGAGAGAGAGAGAGAGAGAGAGATCCTCTGATTAAGCAGAACTCTCTTGAGCCTGAGGTGGGCAGTGCCTGACTAACCCTATGGGGCCCAAACTCACCGTTCAGCGAAGATCCTCCATAGCGCCGCCATTTTCGTACCCTCAGTAAGCAAGGGCAGGGTGCAAAAACACTTGCTGCGGCCATTTTTGGGCACCCGGTGGCTATTTTGGAACCGCCGATCAGCTGTTTCAGAAACATCGCAATGCGAAGATCAGTAAGCGAAACGCTTACCGATCATCGTAATGCGATGTTTTACCCATTAAAACATTGCAATGCGATCGCATTAGCGATCTAAAAAAATAGATTGCTATGCGGATTCGTTGTTAAACGTTGCGCTCGTTATACAAGGCACCACTGTATATGTGTGGGGGGGAGGGGGGAGGAAGTAAGTTCAGATAGGCTTAGAAACCAAAAAGGTAATTTCCAATATTTTGCAAGATTTGTGTGGAGGGGGTTGTAGCTGGCTGGATAGCTTAGTGATTGAGGTCGATGCTGAGGAGCCAGAGATTGGGAGTTTGATTCTCCCACTGTGCCTCTTAAGAGAAGATCCAGCCTGTGTGGCCTTGGGCAACCTACAGACTTCCAGAAGTGCCCCCAGAAAAAGGGGATGATAAACCAGAGTATGTTCTAGCTGGAATGGCCTTGGGCAACCTACAGACTTCCAGAACTGCCCCCAGAAGAAGAGGATGATAAACCGGAGTATGCTGTAGCTGGAAAACCCTGAAAATAAGTCAGAATTGACTTGATGGCACACAATGATGATGATGATTTAGGATTTAGGAATAGTTTTCCTACTTTCTGAGGCAGTATAATGGGAGGGGTAGAAAACTTGAACATCGTTGTGTGTTTTGTAATAGTGGTTGGAATCCAGTAGTAATTCACGACTAGAGTAGGTCCAGTGAATTACTTGGGAATTTTTAAGTAAACCCCTCTATATGTTCCACTCATTCAGTGGCTCTGCTCTAGTGCTGATTTACTACTGGATTCCAGCCAGTTCTGACCTCGTATTTCTTAGTGTCTCCTGCATATCTCACTGTTGCATCTTTCTCATCAGCCAGATTCTCATTGGGTATTTATACAATAGTAGCTTGGTTTACGAAATTAATGTTTTATACAGGATGTTACGTAAAGCAAAAAAATTGTAAACTTGAACGTGGATTGCCATAGGAATGGGGGCGGTGCTATGGCAATGCATCCTGGGGAAACTTTCTTTGCAAACTAAAAAAACCTGGAAAAAAATGTAAACCTAGGCATTGTTTTCAATGGATTTCCATTTGTATTCCGAAAATGACATTAACCGAGGCATTCGTAATTTGAGGTACTGCTGTACCTTCACGTGTTAAGTGGGATAACTCACCGCAGCAAATTGCCATGTACTAACAAGGCACCGGTCACATTTCTACAAGCTCACCTATCACACAATCAGGTGTGTACTTAATAATGCAACCGGTGCCATAGTCATCATCAGCAATTTGTCAAGCTGAATTTCACAACTTAATGCACCTCTAATTCCCCAACAGGATTCTGGTCTGTTTGATGGTGTTTTATCTGCTGTTTTGTGGGTCTGTGACCTTCATTGTCTGGTGGGGGAAACCCCTGACCCCTCAGACCTAGATATACTGTAAAGAGGATGTGGGTAATAGGGAATGGGATTTTTGAACTACACATCCCACAGTTCTCCATTCCGATAAACAAAGACACCTTATTAGACACCAAGATGTGGCTCACCTGGGAGAAAGGCCTCAACTCAAAAGCTTTGAGGCTGAGGTAGGCCTAGCTGCATCCAAGCTTCCTGTTCTTGTCCCAGTGCAAATTGGGAGCTTTTTTTTCTGAACAGGAAGCTAGACAGAGCTAGGCCTAGCTAGGCCTCAGAGCCTGGTTGCTAAGGCCGTTCTCCCAGGCGAGCCAAATTGAAGTGTTTATAAGGCATGTGTCAGAATTTCAAGAATACTGTAGAAAATTTAGCTGGGTGCAAGGTGCTTGGTACAGCCACCTCCCTGTTAGCATTGCCTGAGGCATAGGTGAGAGCAGCACCTTTCCTGTTTCAAAGATTTTATGGCCGGCTAAACATATGAGCAAGCAAACACACACACACACACACACACACACACACACACACAGAGAGAGAGAGAGAGAGAGAGAAAGAGAGAGAGAGAGAGAGAGAGATTGTTCATGTGGCGGATGACTATTGAGCAACCCCCCCCCCCCCCGCTATTGTGTTTCTCTGACATGCAGAGCGAGGGAGGGCTGGCGGATGTAAAAAAACAGATAAATATATTTATTTGCCGAGGAATTGATTTTTTTTCTTCTTCTTCATGAGGGACAAATTGCCAACTAAACAAATCAGGCCCTTTCGGAAAGGGCACCTTAAATAGAATTGCCGTCTTCCCTCGGCTAATTAGAGTGGAGAGCTAATTGCTTTGAAATTATCCTTCCTTTAGCATTTCTTAAGTTTAGAAGATGACTAAGGCCTTTTTTTCCTCCTTCTCTTCAGTTTCAGCTAATTTGCCATGGCCTTTTACGTAGCATGGAGAGGCTCGGAGGCAGATAATGGAAGCTTAGTGACTTCCAAGGGCTGCTTCAGTTAAAAGCATGTGTAGAGTGATCCACTTAACCAAGGGCCAGCCTTCTACCTTTAGGGAGACGTTTCCTCTTATCGTAAAACCTGAGATGCCTATTTTAGGATTCTCTCTGTTTGGAAAGACCTCCCTGTGTTTATGGGTTGTTGGGTTTTTCCCCCCTTCTTTTTTCGCTTCAAGAGAGGGAGGTGATAAAGAAATCAATCTTGTGTTCTATATAGCATCCAGGATACTGCCTTGTGATGAATCAGACCCTTATTTTACACTGCGGACAGTGGCTCAGATTCAAGTAGAACTCTTTCCTGTCCTTATCATAAGTTGCTCTAAATTGAACCTGCGACCTTCGGTGGACTAAACCAGTTTTCTGCCACTGAGCTGTGCTAGTGGCTGGGCAGACCCACCACCACCTCAAGGACTTCTGAGCTGGCATATAGATTTCTGTATTGAGGCTGAGGTCTTAAACATTCATAGAATTATAGAATCATTGAGTAGGAAGGCCATTGGGTCCCAACAGCCTGCTCAGTGCAGGAGTCCAAATCAAAACAGATCTGACGGATGGGTGTCCAATTTTCTTTTAAATGCCTCCACTCCCAAGATCAATTGTTCCACTTTTGTACTGCCCTGTTAGGACGTTTTTCCTGATAGTATTGAGTCTAAATCTGGTTTCCTGTATCTTGAGCCTGTCATTACGTGTCCTGCACTCTGGGACGATCGAGAACAGATCCTGCCCCTCCTCTGTAGGACTGCCTTTCAAGTCTTTGAAAAGTGCTATCGTATCTCCCCTCAGTCTTCTTTTCTGCAGGCTAAACGTGCCCAGTTCTTTTAGTCCTTTCCCCATATGGCTTGGGTTCAAGTCCCTTGATCATCCTTTGTCATCCTTCTCTGAGCTTGCCAAGGAAATTGGTTCCGTTGTCGTACTGCTCTAACAGGTAAATTAATTGCTTTAAGTTCGTAGATGGCCCTCGGTTTGAATAAATTGAATGGCAGTGAGAGGTAACTAGGAACGTGAGGTGTGTACAGTATAGAGTGTCGCTTCCTTTTCATCCTTCTTCAACCTCTTCTGATTCTTAGATCATTGGGCTAATGATCTCATGTGAGTATCTGCTTTAAAGCAGGAATTCCAAATCATGGGCTCTCTGATGTTGATGTTGACTCATCACACCAGCTGTTCCTGGTTTTGGATGATGTAGTTCAGTCATATGTGGCTAACTGGTTGGGAGGAACTGCAGGAAGAATTGTATAGCTTGCAACCAAGAGCCACAGTGCTCCTTAGGGGGGGAAAACGCACACATATTCTTCAGTCCTCATTCACTTTTTAATGGGCTGCATTTCTTCAGATGTATGGAATAGTCTCAGTACTTTAGAACAGAAGCTGTGAGGTGGGAGAATGGGAAACACAACATGGATGCAAAAGGCACCAACCTGGTGATTTTCCCATTACTGTACTGTGGTTGTTAAAAGTGGCCCAATAGTCATTGGGAGGTGATTTTCTTGGTGGTCATTGTTCAGAGGCCATTGTTGGGTGACAAGCCGGGCACATCCAAACATTGATAATGGGGTTTAAAGTGGACAGCGAAGAAAAGTCTTTATCTAAGCCAGCTGACAACTCATATTGGTCAAACGGCATTGTCTATAGACTGAACGGGAAGATGCTCAACTGCAGAAGCTTCATCTCTGTATTCCATTTTTCCTTGAAAGAGATGCCATGCCAATTTCTTTTTTATCCATATGTTGCCTAGTTTCTCTTTTCTTTCTTTCCTAACCAGAGTGCCCTTATGCCAGCCCAGTTGTTCTTCAAGACTGAAGATGGTGGGAAATACCCTGTAATATTTAAACATGGGGATGATTTGCGTCAGGATCAACTCATTCTCCAGATCATATCACTCATGGACAAGGTGACTATTTTTGTCAATCAACACAACCTTTTATAAATAGGTCTCTGTGTGCATGGGTGTCAAAAGACTGCCAGAAGCACCTCAATTTCTTGCTGAAACAATGGCTGGTTGCCTTAGAGCCGCCGGTATAATTTGCTGCTACAGACTATGTACAATGTAACTATGGACATCAGTCAACAGACACAATAATACAGTTTCAGAAAATAAACGAACAACACTTTGTGCAGCAACTCTCCAACACAACACTCCAATTTTATCACAGTGTGCAGCACTTATATAGCGTGAAGAGCCAATCACTGGACACCTCACCTAATGTCTTCTCCCAGATGTTACATCATGTCCAATACACATTTCAAGGATTGCATCAGCCTCATGTGCTGACTCTGTATCTGCAGACCTGGTTCAATATATTTATTTATTTATTTATTCATTCATTCATTCATTCATTCATTCATTCATTCATTCATTCATTCATTCATTCATTCATTCATTCATTTATGTATTTATGTATTTATTTGATTTCTATCTCCGCCCATCTAGACTAAAGGTCTACTCTCAAGAGTAAGGAGTACTACTAAGCCTACTAGTAAGCCCATCTAGACCAAAGGTCTACTCTCAAGAGTAAGGAGCATCAGTAAGCCTACTAGTAAGCCTATTAATAAACTTTGCTTCATGTACTAAGAGCAAATTCTCTATTATGGGTCATAATATCCTGACACACCCTGCAAGTTTCCATGACTCAGGATTAGAACCCACATCTTGTGAGCCCTAGCTCAACACTTTGTCTACTACACTACCTGGTTCAAGAACTAGCTCAGTTCCAACCTTGCAAGTGAACCCACCCCCAACCAAAGAGTCATCTGCAAAGCTCAAGTTGACTTTTTGGCTAGGGTCCTCATGTGTGTTTGTGTGTATGTGATTCACTGGAAGTGGGTTGGGTGGTTCACCAAACCATCCCATTCCCTTCCCCTTCCCCTCCCCTTTTCACATACATTCACAGAAAAGATTTGGAGATGCATAAAGGCGCACATCCATATGGTGGAACTGAAGCAACGACGAGTCTTCAATTGCTTCTTGCATAGGATGATGGATTAAATAAATGAAACATGGGGGAGAGGGGAGTTCAAGGGGTAACAGCAACAAAGGAAAAGGAACACAGGTTAGAAACAGGTCAGAATTCAGACCACGTAACAGTAACTGTTGATTGGGGAGAAAGAGAGAAGTCTAAAGAGAACTTCATTTACGTAACAGTAACTGTTGATTGGGGAGAAAAAAGAGAAAGAGAGAAGTCTAAAAAGAACTTCATTCGTGGATGAGTCAGTTTCATAGGGTGTAAACATTAGCCACCTTGTTTAAAGAAGGGACCTGTGAAAAACTGAAGATTTCTATTCTTCTGTGTCTTCTTAACATTGCTTCTCTACTGATAGTTTTTGTACGGAGCCTCATGGGCAGAGAGTCCACCATTGCTTTAATCTCTTGCAGCTCCCATGGAGCTTAGCTGCTCTTACCCATTTCTTCATCATAGGCACTTAATGGCTGGTTGAGCCCTCATTCCTCACCCTTGTATAACTGAAAACTCCTGTGAGGATTTTGATTTCTTGGCTAACGCTTCCAGAATTTTGAGTGGAGGGATTTCTGGAAATACCAGAAATCTGAAGACTATGTCTTATCAAGGGCCTTCCTGAGTAAAATAATATACTTTTTATTTTTATTTTTTGCTTTCCCATGCCCTTGTATTGCAGTCATTCTCTGTAAGGAAAGCCATCTCGTGTCTAATTTGTCTGATTTGCATTTCCTGTTTTTAAGTCATCACTGTTATCTTTGCTGTCCACTCACTGTTGTGTTTTACGTGCAGCTTTTGCGCAAGGAAAATCTGGATTTGAAGTTGACTCCTTACAAGGTCTTGGCTACCAGTACAAAGCACGGTAAGGATATGTTTCCTCCATTCCTGAGAACCATCAGTATTTTACAGGGTCTTTATTCTGAAATGTTCCGATTATATTAACTGAATGCATTTGGGGGGGGGGGGTTGGGGGAAGACAGTACAGTATCTGGTTCACCTACTGAGGATGAAATATTTCGAACTTTTTAACAAGAATATGCCCACAAATATGAAAAACAAAACAACGGCTGACAGACTGGAAACATTTTATATGCCTTCCACTCTGCAAGAAAGAACATGGCAAGATGACCAGTAACTCTAGGGCCACAGCATTCATTTGCTGCGCAAGCAAAGCGATGCTCATGGTTTCGTAACAAGTTGAGGAAAAGGGGAACACAGACTATGAAAAAGCATTTTTTTTGGCTAGAGTTGTGGACTTAAAGCCACCTGGGGAAGGAAAGCTGGCATATCCAGTCAAAACGCACAAATCTGGCAACTGCAACTGGTCCAGAATCGAGCTGCGTGGCTGGTGAGTGGTGGGGCTGCTAGGGGACACATCAAGCCGATTCTGTATAAGTTACATTGGCTACCAGTTGCTGCCTGGGCCCAATTCAAAGTGCTTGTTTTGACATATAAAGCCCTAAACGGCTTGGGCCCTGGATACCTGAAGGACCGCCTCCTTCCATATGAGCCTACCCGGCAGTTAAGATCTATCCAGGGGACCCTTTTGAAAGAGCCATCCCTCAAGGAAGTAAGAGGGATGGCTTGCAGACAAAGGGCCTTTTCGGCAGCTGCCCCCAGACTATGGAATGCCCTCCCTACTGAAATTCGTCTGGCGCCGACACTGATGACATTTCGGCGCCAGGTCGAAACCTTCCCGTTCCAGAAGGCTTTTAATTGAAATAATACCAACTGTGGGTCCTGATGGCAATTTTTAAGAGTATATATTTTAATTGTAGTTTTATCTTTTTTACCCTATTTTAATTGTAAGCCGCCCAGAGACTTTTGTGTAGAGCAGGCGGCATATAAGTTAAATAAACCAATCATCCCATCTCTGCTGTTTTCACTCTGGTGAAGCAGCCTTAGCCAAAAGTGGATCAGATTCCCCCTTTGTCCTCAAGAAACCCCACCACCACCACCACCAGTAGGTTGCTTCTAAGTGTCGCATCCTCCATTGTGTGACTCTCGCCGTTTCCCACCCCTTCAGGTTTCATGCAGTTCATACAGTCAGTCCCTGTGGCAGAGGTTCTTGCTACCGAAGAAAGCATACAGGTGTGTTCTTTTATTTTATTTTATTTATTCTAACAAGGCCACTTCCTCCTTAAAGGCCACAATTAGATTTCTCCTCCCGGACCTTCCTGGAAAGGCATACCTACTTAGAAGTGTGATATGTGGAAAGTGCACACCTTGTTCGAAAGGAAGCAGACGTGTTTTCAGTCCCCAGATGTAAATGGGGATACTGGAAGCCCTGGTCCAAAAAACAGGGACCTCTCTGAGGAAGTCCGCTAAGGAGCCCTCTGGCACAGTGGTTAAACTGTAGTCCTGCACTCAGAGACTCTGCTCAGGGCCTGAGTTTAATCCCAGTGGACTCAGGTAGCCGGCTCAAGGTTCACTCAGCTTTCCATTCTTCTGAGATCGGTAAACTGAGTAACCAGCTCGCTGGGGAGGGGGAAGGGAACAAGTGTGCATAATTAAATTGTAAATGACCCAGAAAAAAAGTAATTTGCTTGCTAGTTCTTTGCTTAATGATATTTGCCTCAAAAATGCCCATTTCAACACTGTTGGCCACGTTTTTATGGGGAGTATATAAGCAGCACACTTTTGCTTCTTACATTTCCTAGAGGGACCACTATTCGGGCTTCCTCATGTGTCATTCATAGTATATCTAAGCCAATTCGCAGGTGGAATTCTAGCCGTTATCTCTCTTACCTCCACCCCGGTCACTTCCCCTTTCCTAAATAAATAAAGTGCATTAATGCACATTTTGTAATTTGCTTCCTGTATCTTTGTTCAAATCACTTTGAATTGCTAATGCTGTTTAAATGTTGCATCCTGAGCACAAAATGTATATATATGTCTTCTCTACTTTTGAAGCATTTAGCGCTCTTCCTAATTACGCAATAACTCTATATTTGAAACTTAAACAGATGAGATTATTCTAAGGAATGGGAAACTCTTGTGAAATGGAAAGGGATTTTAAATCTCGCTTCTGCAGAGGTTAAAGAAATGTGCTGGGATGTACCCTTAACTGTCGCTGTGTTGCGCTGAGGGAAAGAAATGTAAATTGCTTGATTGTTCTTTGCTTAATGTTATTAAAAATTTCAGCCCTAAGTGTAGGCTATGTTTTAAATATCAAGGGTTTTTTAGGGCAGGAATGGGGAACCTCTGCCTGAATAGCATATGCTCGTTGATTTTTTACGAGGTTGCAAACCATTCATGTTTCCAGCCAGGCCCCTGGAGATGTTGGGAGGAGAAATTAACGTTCTAATGATGTTCTTTCAGAACTTCTTCCGAAAACATGCGCCAAGCGAGACGGGGCCACATGGAATAAGCGCGGAAGTTATGGACACTTACGTCAAAAGTTGTGGTAAGCGATGGCTGACAAGTGGGACTGTGAAGCCTGGTGGAGACGAAGACCTGGAAGCATTACTTTTTTGGAATCACAGTTATATACTTATAAACTCTATAAAAAATTTAAAACATAAGGTATTTAAAACAACTGAAAATCAAACGGCACAAACTCAAGATATTCAAATGTTAAAGATCATTAAAACTACTGCACTAAAACATGCACAGGACACAATCCTCAACCCTCAAAGGCTCTAATAAATTTTTTTTTAAAAGCATTACTTTTTTGGAATCACAGTTATATACTTATAAACTCTATAAAAAATTTAAAACATAAGGTATTTAAAACAACTGAAAATCAAACGGCACAAACTCAAGATATTCAAATGTTAAAGATCATTAAAACTACTGCACTAAAACATGCACAGGACACAATCCTCAACCCTCAAAGGCTCTAATAAATTTTTTTTTAAAAGCACTACCGTATTTTTTGCACCATAAGACGCACTTCCCCCCCGCAAAAACAGGGGTAGAAAGTCTGTGTGTCTTATGGAACGAAGGTGGTGACTTCGCCCCCACTGGCCCCGTGGGGGGCAGCGTCGCAAGGGTCCGTGGGAGCCTTCCAGGACCCTTGTGACACTCCCCCACCCCCGACGAGGCCAGTGGGGGCGAAATAGCGACCTTCCAAGACCTTTTGAGAGGCTTGAAAGCCTCTCAAAAGGTCCTGGAAGCTGCCGATTCCCCCCCTGCACCCATGGGGGGGTGGGAGCAGCGTGGCAAGGCTCCTGGAAGGCTCCCTCGGACCCTTGCCACGCTGTCCCCACCCCCCCACACACGGGCGCAGGGAGGGGGGAAATCGCCAGCTTCTGGCGAAACACCGACCTTCCAGGACCTTTCAAGCCTCTCAAAAGGTCCTGGAAG